ACACTTAAGTTGATTAGCTTTAATCATGTTTAGCATTAAATCACCACTTTAATTTGATTTACAAGTTTACCTCGTCATCCTTCATTGTGGCTACACACAGGCGATTCTCAAAAGTAACACTTCGTCATTATCACAAGGGACCATAATGTCAATTAGGTGATGAAGTGCGAATATTATGCACATAAGGCATGTACGGAACAATATGCACTTAATATTAATTATTAATTTCACAGAATGTTGTAAGTCTATACTTCTATACTTATAATATATATAATAATATTATATATATATATAATAATATTATAAATGCGAAAGTCCGTTTGTTTGTTACGCTTTCACGCAAAAACTACTTAACCGATCATCATGAAACTTTGTACACATACTCTTGGAGGTGTCAGAATGGACATAGGATACTTTTTATTAAAAAATCTATAAATTTTTTACGGATTATTATAAAAATTATTTTGAAGGATTGTATATGTTTGTAAAATAAATTTAAAAATTTTGAATTTTGAAAAAAAAAAGTTTGGCAGATATGATTGTTTGTCGAAAAATTTAAAAATGAAAGAAAACAAAAATGTATAAAAACCGTAAATCAGAGAAACGAGTGGCACGGTCCCTTCGTCTTTCCTCGTCGTCCCCTCACCTACAATAAACTGGTATGAGACTCTTTTGCGTCCCAATGTGAAACGGCACTTATATAACAAACAGTTTGGAAGGCATTGGATAAAAGGAAAAAAAGGCAGGGTGTTTGTTCGGAAGAGTTGAATACAATTCAGTCTGAGCTTAATAGATATTGTTTAATACTCTATATAAGATAAGCCCCACTTGTTTAATTAACTAGAAAGTCTTTAATTAAAGTTTTTTTATGGAACAAGAATTTCTGCTAAAAAAACGGAACAACAAACTTGATTTCAACTTTTTTAATTTTATAAGTACCACCCTGCATATTCAATTTATTTTGTAACATTCCATGTACCCTGTGCTAAAGTGCATCTGTCAAATTCTGACAATTGTTTACAATTGTGCGGCGCCAAGTATTTTAAATTGTTTAATTAATATTTGTTGATTGTAATATTTCTTGTATTTTTAAGCGACAATTAAACAACCAGTTGGAAATGGATGAAGATATTGTGCAATATTTATTGAAAGACAATGTCGCTGTAAATACAGGGCCAAACGCCAAAGGTGAAATTTTGAACATTGCAAACTTCCTTAAAATAATGACATGTTATTCCACAGAGTTTTTTCTAGATCAAGCAGAAAATGAATTTAATAATGGAAATCTGCTGAATTCGATATTTTATCAAGTGCGAGCATTATATCAAGCCTCAGAGGAACGCTACTTTCAAATTGAAGCGAAGCTTAATAATGAGCAGGGCGATAGCAAACGCACATTGGCAGATAAACTA